GGAGAAATTCGCTGTAGGGTAGTTGCATTTGCGCCCTCCGATTGTTGCGCCCTATGCCATGGCCTAGGTTGGCCCTATTAAAAATCTGGCCCTGGCAGTGAAAACAATGCAAGTAAAAAACTTTGTGATTTAATAAAGTAATTTCATTTCTAATTCTAATGAAAACATGTAGAGGAAGGAGGCAAAAAATCGCCCTCTTGTAGTTGTTAAGACGCTTTATGTTTCTAGAAAGTTGCCCCTGCTGTGTAGAAATGTTATCGGAAACAACTTACACTCTCTAAAGAAAACATGTGGAAGTATTAAAAAAAAAATAAAGAACCACATTACGTAGTCGGTAGGATTCGAACCTACGCGGGAAGATCCCAATGGATTTCTAGTCCATCGCCTTAACCACTCGGCCACGACTACTCATGCATATGGTGATTTCCATATCTTGTGTACTCATTTCCTTGTAAAGTAGTTACGCTTCATGAATAAGTGCTATTGACGACTTTATACATCTAAAATTTCTAAATGAATAAAGAAATGAGAGAAAAAGTTTTGGTCCTTCGAGATAAAAATACCAAAGGGTATGATGCGTCTATTATACTGATATGAAGATTTAATTATTCCATTTCTTGTTTTTGTCATTTGCTTCTTGGTTTGAAGCTCAGAAGCTACAAAAACTTTCCCTACTACCATAAAATAAAAGATACTGCCGGGAAGTCACCAGTCCGCGATAAGGGGGAAGGAAGGGGATTCACCCCACAGTCCTCCAGAAAGGGGAGATCGGAGCTAGGTGACAGATCAAAGAGTAAAAGGAAAGCTTGTATTCTTCCGCAGGAAGGCGGAGCTTCGCGAAGTGGGGGAAAATTGCAGAATTTCTTTCAAATTTTTGCTCAAACACAGCTTTTATATATTTTTTGAAAAATTTTAAAATGTGCATTGGAAAGAAGATAACAAAATAAAGGTTTCTATAAAGTTACTTTTATTTTAACTATGCTTGAAAATTTTCTAAAAATTTTAAAACCCGAAATTGAAGTTTAGCGATTTTTGAAAAATATTTAAAAATACTTTAAGCAGTCGGGGAAAAAAAGACATTTTATAGGAACCTGTATTTTTATTTCTTCTATCGAATGCACTTCTGAAACAACGCAATAGCAAACGAGAAAAGGTGTAAGTATAAATCTCCATAGGAAAACATTACGTTCTGAAATTGTAGGTGACATGTGCACGGCAGCCTTAAGATGTTTTATGTCTCTAGAAAGTTGCCGCTGCTGTGTAGAAAAGTTATCGGAAACAACTTACACTCTCAAACACGTAGAAGTAATAAAAAAAGAACCTTACGTAGTCGGTAGGATTCGAACCTACGCGGGAAGATCCCAATGGATTTCTAGTCCATCGCCTTAACCACTCGGCCACGACTACTCATGCATATGGTGATTTCCATATCTTGTGTACTCATTTCCTTGTACATGCAGTTACGCTTCATGAATAAGTGCTAGTGACATCTCTGGTTCGGCAACTGATAAATATCAGCATTAATTTAAATTTATCAAAAATTAATAGATGGATTAATAGAATTTAATTAAATCACTCGATTAACTAATAATTAAGTTATGAAAACATTAAAAAAGAGTGTATTGTCATCGAGAACGCGCAAGTGTACAAGATTTAAATATTCGAGTACATAAGGAAGTTAGTGAAAAATCGATTACAAAATCCCTTATTTACAAACATAAAAGAAGTCAACTTAAATGAAAGTGTATAAAGATTCCTTCCTAAAGATGCAAGAAAGATTTCCTAAAGATGCAAAGAATGGCAAAATTTACTCTGAGGATGGTTTGAAATCAAAATTTCTGTTTGATGCAATTAAAAAAATGATCGCTAACCATATTGATTAATAAATAATTTAGAACAAATTTCTAGAAAAATTTACTCCGAGGATGGTTTGAAATCAAAATTTCTCTTTGTTGCAACTAAAAAAAAAATATCGCTAACCACACTGATTAAAAACAAATTTAGAAAAATTTGTTGCTAATATGTAATTCTCAAATGCAAAATAGTTTCTCAGATTTACCAATGCTACAATTATTCTCTCAACGATTTGTATCAAGAAGTTTTAGTGCACACAGTTACAAAGATGAAATACTGCATATCACCAAAAATATTTCCTTTACCTCATAAGATAGTGCTAATTACCCATTACCTTTGCTAATAAAATTGTTGGTAAACAACTTTCAAGCTATACACAGCGCTGAAAAAGTAAAAGCTACATCGAGCCAGCCAGGATTCGAACCTGGAATCTCCTGATCCGTAGTCAGGCGCGTTATCCGTTGCGCCACTGGCCCTCGTTTACAAGCGATACAGGTATGTTCACACTGTTTTCAACATGGATTTGTATAAGAGAGTAATGGGGTCAATTCATGGTCACGTGACAGTTACAAAATACTGTCGGCTGCGCATGTCATCTAAGCGCTAACCGCCCCATTTATGCCGATGGGTCTGCCGTGAACATCTTCCGCCATGTTATGACGCGTATTACTAATATAATATCCTATCCTATATCCTCCGGTATCGCTCTGACGTCACCAACAATAAAATTCGCACCATAACACTGCGAAACGTTAAACAGCATTATTTCATTGTTAGAGAACCTAAATTTCAGTCATTTTAAATTTAAAAGAGTAATTGTCGTTCTAATTTCAAATTTAATAGCTCTAAAATAGTGAAATAAAATTTCCCATCGATTGATATAAAATTTATTTCGCTGTAATCAATAGTTCCCGAGATATTTTAAATTATATTAATCATATATTTCAAATTAATTTCCGTTTTTCAATAGAAAGGGGTAAATTACGTCAGCGGTATATCATGCGCGTGATATAGTTTGGACGCCAAATTGTATCTGAACGCAATCGTGGCGATGTTGTTTTCTTGCCAAGAATTAAATTAGCCATCAATGACGTGAATCTACCATTCGTTCTCAAACGCAGCCAGTCCCCGTTAATTCCAGCTTACACGATGACTATCAGCAAATCGCAGGGGCAAACTTTCGATGATGTTGGAATTTACCTCGATGAG